ACACAGTGTTTCATCACCAGATGAAACACCTCGAAGTTCGTCAAAAATACTCCGCTGCGCGTCGTATTTTCAACTCTCTTCTCGGTGTTTCATCTGGTGATGAAACACTGCATCTCATGTTTGATATATTACTTGAAAGAAAAAAAATTATGTCAAGTTACTTTCAAATAGATGATGATCTTAATTCAGCAGTTTCTACCTATACACTTTTACAGCAACCCCACTGATAACAACCTAACTTAAAATTTTAGCCTAAATAGGTTCTTATGTAAAGGGGGCTTAAAATGAAAATTTTAGCCTTACAGGTTCTTAAAACCCAGGTTCTTATACGCGGGCTATTATTGTATTCAAATGGAACTTAATCGGGTAGTACCCTTGGCATGTTACTACAGTATCAAAATGTTTTTCACTAGTTTACAAACCTTGATTTGGAATTTTCGGCGCATTTTGACTCAGTAGGTGTGAATATAGGTTAATCGTGCACAGTTGCCCTCATGAGGGCAGAGGTTTGAAAACTAGTGAAAAACATTTTGATACTGTAGTAAAATGCCAAGGGTACTGCCCGATTAAGTTCCATTTGAATAGTTACCAGATTGTAGGATTTTATCAATTGCCTAATTTCATACTTAAATGGCCATAATTATGCATAGTGTTATATAGTTGGCAAATGGCTCTTTCTTCATGTGTATGAAATTCATGATCAATAACACCATTTACACAAATACATGAGATAGGGAAATTAAACTGACAGGTGTGGAAAGTCACACTATTACCATTCATGACTGAATTGGAGAGTGCAAAGCGCTAGCATTACGCAATTTCAAGCACTGCTGCCCAATATATGCTAATTATATTGTTCATATATACTAAAATATCAATGTCAATTTGGAAGCAACTGAAATTGTCGATGTAATTCCTGCAAAGAGAGAACAACAGAGTTTTAGAGGGGTCAATAATTATACTAGATAATTACTTTGGCTTACAGCAGTAGCCTCAGTTATCGGCCTAATTAAAGAGAACAGTGGGCTTAGGAAAATTCTCAAGTTTGGTGTTAATCAAGAAAATATTACATAAGATACAGCTACTTAAAAACTTGAAAATTTGGTAGATGTATGGATTGCTAGACTGCGTGTAGCCGCACCCCCCCCTCCTTCACCTCCGGCAAAGGAAAAACGGACGGTCATGTTGAAATGCAGACCATGCAGACTGCAGACTGGGCAGACCGTGCAGACTGTGCAGACTGAGTGTAATATTTTTTTTTTTTGTACCTTAATTTTCTAGTAAAATTTTCTCTATAGTGTCCCGAAGGAGCGAGCATACGGTGGCTCTGAGATTCGGGTGAGACTTTTGTTTATGTATTTTTTAAATTCGATTCTCAAGAGTGTCCTTCTGGGCGGGTTTTCACTCGGGGATTGACAATCGTATTTGTTCCATGCATTCACGCCAATAAGTGGTAGTGGTTTGAAACCGAAAGTCTTGTTCGAGTATCATGGTTCTTGTTTATGCAGCTCCAAAACTAAATAGTTCATTAGTAACAAACGTATTATTTGTACAACTCGAAGATGTGGAGGGGGTTTTAATGCACAGTGACCTAGATCCCCCGCCGTGTATTTTAGGTATATTTTGTCTTGGAAATCAGCATATTTATTTTTAGGTAGATATACCGTTGATTTATTTACACATTTTAAAGCAAGGCCCATCTCTCAAACGTCTCGGTTTGATATCCCGAGCTAACAACGATGACATCGGTATCTGTAAGATTTGAACAAATGATAGTCTGCTACACAGCCGTTTGTAGAGTCGTCATGCCACGCTCCTCTTGTGGGGAGGAGCATTGCGTGACGACACTAAAAACGGCTGTGTAGCTGACTAAAGAAATGACGGCAAGTCACTGGTTTGAATGACAGAGTGAAACCAAAGACGATCATCAACAATCAAGGAAATTGAGGAAATGTCTCTCTCGTAGCCGTTGTAGGAAGCCGAAAAGGGTTTTATTTTAAAGGATTAAATTAACTGCAAAAACCGTGGACGAAGATCCTGCTAGTTGTAAACGTTGGATCTCTAGAAAAGGGATCAAATCAGCCAGAAAAGAACCTGCAAGAACGAGAAGTCCAAAGACTACTGCAAAGCTGATTTAAAACAACGTGTATTGTTTTTTATAACAATATTTCGGCTGGCCATACCAGCCTTCTTCAGGTTCACAGATGTTACCGAACTTATGTAGCAATCATAATATTATATAGATGGAGAATGTCGCAAATAAAAGGGAGAGGCGGAAATGACGTACAACATAAAAACTGGAAAGGAAAAATACTAAGGATATGGATTACAATAATTCGTCATGGCGGTTTAGGCCATGAGCAAGAGTCATGGCCTTATCTATCAAATGCAACTCCCTGGCCTTACGACCTGAGTCCTGTGAAGAATGGATTTT